ACTGGTTAGGAGCCCACAGGCTCCTTGCTGAGGAAACACCTGCTCTTATAATAGCCAAGGAGAGACCAAGGGTGGGAAATCCATCTGCATAATCTGATGAGCATTAAACTAACCAAGTCAAAAGCCAAGGAACTGACTTAATCTGCTGTGATCTTTTTCCCCTCCCTCTGCAGAGGTGAGCTCAGGACACAGTTGCATCTCCCAGTCTTAGGATGTTATTAGGGTGGAGCTCAAAATAATATGCATGAAAAGCAAATCTCTGATGTGTGGAATGAATGATTTGGGAGACAGCAAGGACRGCTGAATGGACTTTGAGAGTGCTGCAGTGTGCCATGGGGTCACTCACAAGCCAAATTCCCAGATCCTGCAGTGAAGCCGAGTGTAAACGCTTCATCCCAGTGTCTGGAGGGGGTGGCATATTGTGTGTAGCGAGTCTGTCTGTCAGGGTAGGCTTGGCTGATAAAGCAATTCGTCTGTCCTCAAGACTTGCTCTCAAATTGCACATCCCTTGAGTTTGAAGACAACATCCCGGCTGACAAGTTAGTAGGTACTGAAAGCTCCTGTGTTCCTGAAGTTCCTGTGTGGGGCTGTGAAGGGAAAGGAAGGCAAAGAGGAGGAAAAGGAGGATATCYATCCCCTTTATTTCCTTCTGAGGGAGTGCTGATGTAGCCCTTACTTTCTACAGCCATAGAATGAAATGGGTACAACCCTCATTAATAACCTTACCTGAGTTGGAGGTTATATTGAGGTTTAGTGGTAGTGCTAAACCTCTCCTGCAGAGAAAGTCTGGGCAAGATGACCAAGGTTGGGCTTCTTCTTKGACATGGACAGTGGGTGCAAGTCTGACCAAATTCCAGCTGTTGGGAAGAGACTGAGAATCTGCTTTGGAGGCTGCAAAGAGGCAGTGCTGGAGCAGCAGTTTGGGGGACACTGCTCTGACTGTTCCTGCTGTCATAGTGTGGGTCTGGCTGCTGCTGAGGGGCTCTGGGCAAGTCACTTCACCGTGGTGTAAAGTGTGAGTTGTGAGCAGCARCCCTTTGAGGAGGAACAGGGTTTTTGTGTGTGCAGAGTGTGAAGTACCAAGGGACCTTGGTCTCTGCCCAGCCTCTGTGTGCTACTGTAATGTAAATAATAATGTGCAGATAACAGCGAGGTCAAGGAACATCTCTCAAACTTGATAATTTTCYCTGATGGCAAGATTTATGTGGCTGTTTCTGGCTGGGCTGGAATTGTGCCAGATTTTGATCAGTGTCCAAATAACCACACAGAAATACTATACCAAGGAGGGGGAAAACCAAGGGGTTGTTGGRCTGCCAGGCCAACATAAAGCTCGCTGTAACTGCAATCAAAACAAACAGCRTCAGGTCCTGCACGGGAGCAAAGCATCCGTTAAATGTCGGGCACTGCCAAAGGAAGTGGCAGAGCCGTTGGCTGGAGCAGCAGGAGTGCTGGCACACTGCACACTTCRTGGGGCTTCAGAGCTGCTTTTAAAATAGTCCCCACCACTGCAGTAAAATGTTATCCTGCTAGTGCAGGGAATTAGTAACATGTTTGCTCCATGCCAACTGTCTCTTCACTGACTGTCCCTGTGCAAGCAACTCAATGGCAGAAAAGTTTCTTTTTAAGAAAAATTCATCCAACCTAGCTGAGGTTCTTTGATGCCTGGTTTGCCACACTGAGGTTGCAACTTAGCACAGAAGGACAGACTTTAATCCAGAGAAGTAAAGGTTGTCTGAAAGTTTGGGTTTTGCTTTTAATTACTGTCTCAGACTGAATAAGAAGGAGAAGCAGTATTCACTCGTCATGTATTGGCAGCACTTTAGGGTGTACTTTAAATTTGCAATATCAAAACTGTGCTTGGGCAGACAGAAAAATCAAGAACAGCTCCTGCTACTTGAATGTTATAGGCCTGAGGAATAGGATAAGTAGTGATTTAAAAATTAAAATTTAAGAAGTTATTACTGTAGGGCTAAAAGAAGTGTAACCTTAGCCCYTCACTGGAAGATGCACATGATGTCTGGTTTTGTCATTCTTTGCTCCAGGCTTATACAGTACCTTGTACAGTGATGTCTGGGTCACTGTCCCTAATAGTTTAAATATTTATTGATATCAGTGCYGTTTCAGTAAGTGCTGGAGTGCTTAGACAAGAGCTGTGTAGTTCAATTTTACCTCTAGGTATGGGACAATTTACATAAACTTGCTTGTTTTTTGTATGCGGATCTACTAAAGTCTCCTCTTGGATGATTTGTCTGGCAACAATTTTTAGTTTTCAAAGTTACAGAGTGATCCAATATCAAAGCAGCTTCTCCAGCAAAGGGTGAGAAAGCTGCTGGACCAATGGTTAAAGGTGCAGTGAGGCACATTCACATTAAAGCTTTATTTATGGCAGGACAGGACTTCCAGTGCTGCCAAGATAGTCCAGGTAGCTATTCCTGGCTTTCCTCTGCAGGATCCAGCAGTTAAATGCCAGTGCTGCTGAGGRGTTTGTTTGGGTGTAAAAGCCAGTGGCTTGGAGCATTAAAGAGCCAACATCAATTGGCTGTTGTAGCTCTGCCCCTCCTTCTTTTGGTAATGTTCTTAATTAAAATCCTTTCTGAGTTGTGTCACTGATGACTGTTCCATCCTTTTTTTMTGTGGACTGTGCAAGCCTTGTTTAAGCTTGAGGTTCAAAATGGCCCTGTGGAGAGGCAGTGCCTGTCCCAGAGAGTTTTCTCTGCTGGATGGGGGCAGAAAGGAGCTGCTGTTATCTCTGTRGCACAGATGGGGAGCTGTAGGGTGGAGATACTGAACACCTTGGCTAAAGTCAGGAGAGAGAGTCTGAGAAAGATAGGAGCTACTGTTGAATTACAGTTCTGGGATTTAATAAAAATTAATTAAAAATCCTTATCAAATTTGAGTTTGGGAGGTAGGAGGACATTAGGAAATTCAATTGAAAAGAGATTCATATTTAGCCTCAGGTTATTTAAAGGGAAGACTTAAGTTACACTGCAGAGTTTCAAACTTGTGACCCAAATGCTCTCTAGCAGTAGGAATTGCTCTCTGTGGGTGTTTTATTTCCCCTCACTCCTTGCACTGGATTCAGTTTGTTAATCAAGAAGACAGCAAACAAAATGCTTCAGTGGTGGCCACCAGAGGCCTGCAGCCAGTGTTGCATACTCTGGGATGATGGATGTTGCTCAGAAATCTGAATCTATGCAGGGAGCTCCCCAGAATGAGACTGAGTGAAACTTCCTAATTACCTTTTTTTTTTTTTTTAATTCTTTGTCTATTTACCCCCCTTGATCTGAAGACTGAATTGTGCAATATTTCTGCYGTTGGTTCAACTTGATGGAACACCAGGGGAAAATGATTCCCCAGTTTGTTCCAAATGTGAAATCCCAAGTAACATTCTAGTTTTGAAGTTCCTTGCCCTTTTTGGCTGCTTGGTGATCAYCCTGCCTTTCACCAGATGAGAGACCAGTCCTTTTTGAACTAAGCTGGACTCCTGAGGTATCAAAAAGGAGGGACCAGAAGCCTGGTTCTGGATCTAGACTTAAGACATGGCACAAGAGAGTCTTACTGTAATTTTTCTACATCCTTGGAATATAGCATTGGGTGGGTGTTGTGAGCAAATGATAGAAGCATCCTAACTGGACTTGCGTGTTCCCTGCACTAATAATCACRTGTATTCACACAGGGGTTTGGTTTAGGTTTTTAACAGTTCCCTCCCTCTCTGCTGCAGATCTGTTTGTTTGTACACASCTATTTTGGTCAAATTTCCCCAAGTTAGGTATGTGTTTACTTTTTGCCTTCATCTAATCAGCAGCTCAAAGGATAAGTTGACGTTCTATATTTAGTCCAGATATTCAGTAGAGATGATTRGGGCTGTATCAAAGCAGAGGTTTTTGGGTTTTTCCTAGGATGTCTCACCGCTCTCTTCCTGTATTGCTGCAGCTTCTGTCTCTGCTCATATTTCTCTCTGCAACCAAGAAGCATCTGTCAGCGTATTTGTATGGCTTTCTAAACATATTTGAAATAATTTGCCTCTAGAAAGTGATTGTGGTCTGTTTGCCACGAGAGGAGTAGCTGCAGTCCTGATGTGAGCTGAAATATCCAATGTTTATGGAAGATGACATAGCAAAGCTGTTTACCATATGCTACACAAGGCACAGTGATAGTGGGCTATTTTTACCTCTGCAGTTTGCAGGGGAAAACCAGAATAYAATAATGCAATTTATGTATTCTCCTCTATTTCAAATGTGCCTTTGAGAGAGAACATGACAGCACTCTCTGAGCCAGGTCATGGGATATCAGTRTAACACCAGTTATTATTTGGATCTTGAAACTGGTACAAAACTGGGGTCAAAACCAGCCACGTATGTACAGCAAGAGGCATAATGAGACATTGATGAGATTCAAAGTGCAAATCACTTCAAGTTAGGCTGTTTGTGGTGACACCTTTCACTCACAGCAGTTCACAGCATCTCTCTCTGCCCCTTCTTTCATTTCCCTGCTTCGAGGTCCTGTGGCAGCTGTCATCTGCTCTCCATTATGGGATTTCAGACTGCCCATTGCACCAGAGCAGAGCCCTGTGAGCTGACTCAGTGCCAGGCAGCATGGCTCTGGAGACAATGCAGTTCAGTTTACAGGGAGCTGGAAGCTATGGATTTAGCAGCTTGGATCAGTGCATTCGTGTGACTGCATTACGTTCCAGCTCTATTCCCTGAACGTATTCTTAGGTTGTCCCAAGTGGTTTTTTGACATGAAGATGCTCCCTGAGCCAGATAAAGCAAAAACTAGTCCCATGAAGCTTGCTTTGTCTCTGTAGCCTCTGAGTTTGAGAACTGCTCTTCCTCTGTCTTGTGGGTCTTGAACTGTGCCCATCACCAAGATAAACCGTGTTACAAAAATGCAGCCCATGGGGTAGAGAACTTGAGTTTAAATATTGTCCACACAAGAAGTGTCTCAACCTGTCTGCTTCAACAATCTGTTTTTACACCCTGTATTCTGTCTCTCTCTAGTTTGCTCTAGGTTGTATGGTTGCACCCTGGAAATGGGATGTCAGTCCCATTCAGGGAGCATAAAGGAAGAAAGAAAATCTCCCCGTTGCTGCCGCAGTGACAGCGAGTGAGAGCCCGAGCAGGAAGATGTCGACAGTCACTTCAGCCATCCAGGCTCCTCAGGGCCCTGTGAATCCGCCGCCTCCGGAGGTGACTAATCCCAATAAACCTGGCCGGAAAACCAACCAATTGCAATATATGCAAAATGTTGTGGTGAAGACTTTGTGGAAGCATCAGTTTGCTTGGCCTTTCTACCAGCCTGTTGATGCAATTAAACTGAATTTGCCGGTACGTATCTGGCATCTTCTCGGTGATGTGTTCCTAGAAAGCTTTGGGTTGGTGAGATCGGTTTTGGGATTGCTTGGAGTGGAAATATCAGTGCCTGGGATGGTGTTTGGCTCAGCCAGTGGTTTTAATGCAGCAAGAGAGGCTTTGGTGCTCTGATCCAGAGCAGGAAAATGCCAGTGCACARCCCTGCAGCGTCTCCAAGCTAATCACAGCCTCTGCAGGTACTCCAGACCAGCCCAGAGAGAAACTGGGTTAACAAGTGGAAACCTTTTAAAGGCTGAAATGCTCTTAAAGTAAGAGACTGAAACTTTGGGCATGGTTTTAGCCAGCTCTGATAAACTTCTGCAAGTGCGAGGGGCAGCCTTTTAAAAAGGRAGGCAGAAATGCTGATTCCCACACTGGAGGTTGTGTACTTTGGAGCCAGGTTCATAATAATGGTAAGATAAAAAGATATAAATKACAAAATTAATGAATATATATTTACATTTACAATTTCCACAACATTTGGGGATTGTTTTTTAGGAGGGTAATGAGAAGCAAGGAGGGGTTAGAGGAAGATGTGAACAAAACTGTGTCAGGARATGTAACATCTTCCCTGTTCCTCCAACAGGATTATCACAAAATTATAAAAAACCCCATGGACATGGGGACGATCAAGAAGCGCCTGGAACACAACTATTACTGGAGTGCCAGTGAATGTATGCAGGATTTCAACACCATGTTTACAAACTGTTACATTTATAACAAGGTAAAAAAGACCAGACAAGGCYTCAGAAAAGACCCATCTACCACTGTCACTGTGCAGGTTTTGAACAGGGCCGGCTCRGGGCCCTCCTTGCAAGGATTTGAAATGCCGCTAATTGCAAGCATGTTACTTGAAATGCACAAAGCTGTCTTTGTGCTGCCTCTTTCTTCCCCCAGACTAGTTAAAATGGCAAATATGCCTTTTAATTATAGGTAGATTTCTGTTCTGGGGTTATGTAGAAAGATTTTACTCCTTTTATTTTCAGTTAGGAGTTCTCTGGGATGAGCTGCACTTAAGGCAGTGCTCTGCAGGTGTTTGGAGGTGCTTTAGTGCTGTGTGTTAGACTGTCTGGCACTAAATAGCATCTGTTAGCAGCAGAAAGGAGTTCAGGAGTCAGAACTCAGTTCTTTGGCTCTTCATAAATAAGTCATACTTACACACATTTAAATTGCTTATTTTTATTATTATTTGGGGTTTGGCTTGTTTGCTGTTTTGTTTGGTTGTTAGAAGCCTCTATTCTTTGTCTTATGTTCTCTACAGTCATTTGTCATGATTGACCCAGACTGGAGAACAGCTGAAATAAACAAATTAATTAGTTTGAGCCACAGAGTGTGTGTTTAGCCTCTTCCCTGGACCTGCTGGCAAGCAAGGAAGGACAGCTCATCCGTTCCAGTTTGCTGCTTCCACGCTGCTGCACAGGATGCTGGTTTATCAGGCTCCTACTGAAGCCCTGATAATTCTCTGGATGCAGCACACTTAGGGGCTGTAATTATTGCATGCTAGAGCAGAGTAGAAGAGCAGGGGAGTGGCATGCAAGGAGGGAGAAGAGCTAATCTGTTTATTGTCAGAATTTGAATACCGTAATTTATTTGAAGGGCATCAGAGTTTTCAAAGCCTGATCTTTAACTTCTCTACTTCAGATATGTGAATGATACAACAAAGCCTATATTCTTCTTTCTGCAGCCCACAGATGACATTGTCCTCATGGCCCAAGCCCTGGAGAAGATATTTCTGCAGAAGGTTGCCCAGATGCCTCAGGARGAGGTGGAATTGCTACCCCCAGTTCCTAAAGGCAAAGGTCGCAAGCCCTCAGCGGGCACACAGAGCGCAGGTATGGACCCTCCAGGGACAGGGAATGTTGGCAGCTGTTCCTGAGTCCTGACCTACCTTCCAAACTGCTGGGCTTGGCAGATGGTYGAGAGGCTGGGAAGGGAGAGTGTGGTCTCATGGTTAAAGCAGTGGTGAGAAGAGTGTGAGATGTCTGGGTGATGTTCACTCAGTGTTTCAGGGCTTGCCTGTCTCAAGGCCACTCTACATTTGTCACACAAATCCTGCCATCTGTGAGTTGCCCTTCCACACAGCACTTCAGTGAGGGAGGCAGTGCTGTTGCTTCTGAATGCAGAGAAGAAACCCAGGCAAGAAAAGACCAGATAGTCAGAAATGCCAGAATGCTGCCAGTGCCAGACCATGGCATGGCAAATCTTTACAGATTTGAGTTTATACAGCTCACCCTGGGTCCTGGCAGAAATCTGACACGGTAGAGATTTGGACTGCAATCTTGCCAATCCCCTAAGCCCTGTATAATGTTCTTCTTTTGCACACACAGTTGCAACATCATAGAATTAAAGGTTGATCAACAGAAAGGATTTATTRAGACATTGCATGTCAGTGGAAACTAAGTTTAGTTCAGCTTATCTAGACTTGATTTTAAATGGATTCAGGGCGAAAATGTCCAAGCATGGTAAAACAGTTCATAAAGGAGCTTGTGTGGGCTGAGTTAAATGATTGCAKTTGGGTTTTTTTTTTTCTCTAAACAAGGTCTAATTGTTGCTCTGGGAAAGTCAATTGTTCCTCTGTTTTCCCACATTTCAGGTGCTAAATGGAGCTATAACTCTATCCAAGCTCAGTGAAATTAATGATGATGTATCTTTTCAACATCCTTTGATAAAACACAGGAGGAGGATTGCTGCTTTGGTTATTAGTTACTAGGTTTGRCCCTTTAATGTTACACCAGTTTGCAGTTTTTAGCAGTGCAGAGACAGAGCATCAGAGATATKGAGGCCATCAGGAGACTTAAGCTCTGCTGAGAATCACAGAACCATAAAATATGGTGTTGGAAGGGACCCACAGTAATCACTGAGCCAAACTCTTGGCTCTGCACAGGACAATCCCAAGAATCACACCCTGTGCACTTGTGGCAAATCTGGAGTGTTTTGGACTCCTGGGTGYTCAGGTGCCTTCGGGCAGTGGTTGTTTCCATTTGCATGGTATGGACCCCTCCCACTGTTCCATCTCCTCAAGCTCCTGCTCTTCTCCTGAGCTCAGTGCAGCTCAGAGCATCAGAGAGGTGAAGACTATCCCACATTCTCTATATGAAAAGCTGGAATTTGCGTGCACGTAGCTGACTTAAAAACCCGTGGTACAAGGAGTTAGATCAGAGATTCCTCATCTTTGTTGTGCCCTGGGTAACAGCATCAAGCAAATCACACAGTGTCCTTTGTGCTTTTCCCGTGGCCCTTTGCCAAGTCCAGCAGCACCAGTTTGCTCCCAGTGCTCTGGGCCAGCTGTAACCACCAGTGCCTTTTCCCTGTCGTTTGAAAGGAGCGCAGCAAGCCGTGGCCGTGTCTTCCGTGTCCCCGCCGGCCCCGTTCCAGAACGTCCCTCCAGCCGTGTCTCAGACGCCCGTCATCGCTGCCACCCCCGTGCCAACCATCACCGCCAATGTCCCGCCTGTCGCCGCCCCTGCCGCCGCCGCCCCGCCCCCGCCCGCCGCTCCGATCATGCCCGTGGTGCCTCCCACGCCCCCGGTCGTCAAGGTAAATACGGGGAGCTCTGCCCCTTCCCTGCTGCTGAGCAGGGCTGGACTTCCATCCATCCCTGCTGGGTCAGTGCGTTCCCTCTTTCATCGCTGACTGTTGAGTTTGAGAGGGTTCAGAACAATTTTGCCAATTTTCACACACTCCAAGTGAGGTGATTGCTCCAGCTCAGTTCCAACTTCTCCTTTCATAGCCTTCCCCTCTGCTGCTGCTGCTCCACGGCTGTTGGAATTGCCCCCATTTTACACCAAATAGCTCAAAGCATCTCTTCCCTCTCTGACTGAGCTGATTTTACTGGGACTGTTCCTTTAAGGTTTGCAGGCTCCAGCATTAGGAATGTTCCTCTTTGCTTTAAACCAGTTCAAGACAAGCCTGTCACTCCAGTTGGAGGAGACTGATGTTGCCTGCAGGTTTTGGGTGCATKAGTTCTGTCTTCCTTACTGAGTAATCTTTTGGGAGTTGTCACTGGTGTTTTGCTATTTATTATGTTAATTTATGGGTAAATGAGAACATTACCTAAATAATTGAAATTTTCTTAGCAAGCTGTGTGTTGCTTAAAAAATGATGAAAGCATAGCTCAGAGAAAGCTGGTTTTTTTTAGCCTAAACTCTGGAATTAACTGCAGCAGTTTTGGTTGTGAGTTTGCTTGGACCAGCAGAGGCACAGAATTGTTTTTTCTTTTAACCCAATTGTTTGGGAATTGCTAGAGAATTTGTAAGTCAAATCTTGCAGCTAAGCTACCCTTCTCAGAAACCTGTCTCATATTTCAGTTTCTATCCAAATAACTTGCTTCTGAGAATCAATTTCATTTTAAAACTCAAGGATGAACCCAGAAGTGAGTTTGCCAAATACACATTACAAAATTAATTCTGCTTGGGATTTACTTAAGATTTCCTTTAGATTTCTCTAAGGAACTTYTTTCCCCTATCTCCCTCTCCAGAGAAATAAATCCTTCATAGGAGCACGAGGGAGCTGACTGGACAGTCACAGCTTGAATTTATGTGAGAGGTTTTGTTTGCTTAAGGCAAAATCTACCTTAGCAYACCCACTAAATGCAGGGGAGTAAAGGCTCATGGGTCTTTGGTGATTAATATGCTTTGGTTCAGAACTTATAGCCTGATCCTGCCMCTGGGGACTCAGACATGTGCTTAAGTTACTGACACTTGCTCAGTCCCGATGCATCAGCTGAGCTGCAATAATCGACTGGGCGCCCTCCTATCCCTTGGCAAACATGAGGTAAGAGTCCTGGTTTCCATCTCAGTGAAATAACACATTTTGTATCATGGTTGGGGTCGGGTTGGAGGTGTGCAAATGGTTACTGTGGCTCAGGTGATGTGCAGTGTTGTAGCCATGAATTGTGTGTTGGAGCCTYCAGTCACAAATCCCATTTATCCCGTTGAAATAATTGTTTTTTTCTATCAGAGGACAGGGAATACTAAGGATGAGCTGTGCTAGGGTTTCTACCAGCTTGAGAACCGGGTGTGCACTCATGTAGCCTGTCCCTCTGCTGTTTCAGAAAAAGGGAGTGAAGCGGAAAGCAGACACRACCACCCCCACCACCTCTGCCATCACTGCCAGCAGGAGCGAGTCCCCCACGCCCCTGTCGGACCCCAAACAGGCCAAAATCATCGCGCGCAGGGAGAGCGGCGGCCGCCCCATCAAACCACCAAAGAAAGACCTGGAAGACGGAGAGGTTCCCCAGCAYGCAGGGAAGAAGGGCAAACTCTCTGAGCACCTCAAGTACTGTGACAGCATCCTCAAGGAGATGCTCTCCAAGAAGCACGCAGCCTATGCATGGCCCTTTTACAAGCCCGTGGATGCTGAGGCCTTGGAATTACATGACTATCAYGATATTATCAAACATCCCATGGATCTCAGTACTGTGAAAGTACGTCCTCATTTACCACCTCTTTTGCAGGGGGGTTCCTCTGGTTGCAGAGGAATGGCTTCTTCTTGGGGAGGGGGAAGGGGAAAGGGTGGAAACTGAACCTGTTTGGATATCAGYGAGGTATTTTTATATTTGGTTTCCTTCCCCTCTCCCTTTTTCACCATAACCTAGGGAAGCTTTTTTTCCTTCCTGCAAAGCAGATGATGTACACAAAGCAAAATACAATGGGATCCTCTCCTCTTTGTGGATAGCCCAACTGTTGAACTGGTGTTCTTGGGATTGTGTTGCACTCTGAGAGGAGRAGGTGCTTTATTTCATAGGATTCAATTGATAGTATCCCATTTCCAGAAGCTGCTGCCTGCCTACTTGGTGGTGATGGCAGATAGGCTTTCACTGAGCAATTCSAACTGGAATGTGATGGTACTCATGAGGTACATGATGGTTTTTTGGTTCATGGTTGGCTTCTCRAGTGTTTAGCTTAGTATGGTCCAATATTCTGTTTTTTCCCAGTAGGTTTTGGGRTTTCTGAATCCCTCCATGAGGCAAAGCCACGTCTGTCTAGTTCCCATCTTCTGTTCATGAGCCAGGCATTGGAATCTGTGTTGGTAGAGGTGAGACTTCCATGTGCAGGAGGTGAAGATGTTGTTGCTGGCATTCAGGAGCATTGCCAGAAGGGTTTTGCTGCCAGCTGAGCCAATGCCTGGGATTGTCTGAATGGCCAAGCTGACAAAAGGGCAGCTGTGGTTGTGATTGCTGTCATATTCCTTGGCAGATGCTGTGTACTATCTGGGAGCAGCATCTCTCACTCTGATATGCCTTGCTTCCATCCTAGGGATGCTCTGGATTCCCAGAGATACCTGCAGCCTGGTAGATGAGCTCACAGGTGATTGCAGAAAGATTAGAGATGGCCAGAGTGAAATCCTCACCCTCTCAAGGCTGGTACTTCCATGTGTACTTAGGTGATTTCTTATTGCAAGAGATCTTTGTGCTGTGTTCTGACAAACCTAGGTGCAAAGCTGGGATTTCTTGGGTCAGTGACTTTTTCATATTAAATCTCTTTATAGTCCTAACTTAATTCCTTTTAAATTGTACACCTCTGCCCCTTTTCTGGCAAGTTCAGGTGWTATCCTCCCTCTGCACCTGACTAGTGTAGGGCAGAAAATTGGAGGCAGGTCGATGACAAACCCAGTGCAGTCTTTTGCACCTAAAGACCCTGGATTTGTCATTCCACATGGTAGTATTTTCCTTAATAAAGTTGTTTGAAGTGCTGTCTGGTACTGTTTTTTTATGGAGTGTTTTATTATCATTGCTCTTGGCCTGTAGATCATAGTGTGACTTCTCGGAGATGCAGCCCATAATATGTTAACTGCATGGAACAGAAATCTGCCATTTGCAGGTGGTGTCATTTTCCAATGTCAGGGACTTCCTCTGTGGCTCTGAAAGGTTTTTAGATTTAATTTTGCCCAAGTGACAATGGCTGTGATAAAGCAGCGCAACTAACGGCCTTCAAACTAATCCAGAAGGAATTATGTGAGAAAGTAAAACTCAAGCACTGCTGCAGCTGTAACACATCTTGTCTCTCTGCTTCTGTGCTTATGTGAGGTTTGATTTTCCTCAGAGACTATCCTTCATGTCCAGCAGCATTTTTTTCCTTGGCAGAGGTGTCTCCAGGAGGATTTGGAGGTTGTTTTCTCYGTGTGCAGTGGAGGAAGCAGGTTGGCTGTTGTGTTGGTTGTTGTGACTGTGCCGGGGCAGGTGAGATGGAGGGGCTGGAGCTGAGCTCRGAGCAGAGGGATGTGCTGGAATTATGTGCTGGAACTAAGATTGAGAGTGGGAACAGCTGAAGGGACAGGGTTTGTGATCTCCACCTCAATTCTTTGATAGGCATCACAGAGAGGGAAAGAGCAGAACCTGCCTGCCCCTCTGCCAGTCTTGCCTGACTCCTGATTTGCAGTTGTAAATGTAATCACTATTTTTTTTTTAAGCAGCTGGATATCTTAAAGTGTATTTATAACAGAAGATATTCCAGCCCACTGATTTAAAGTGCTTTTCTTTCTTTTGTTAAACTAATTATTCTTTATAAGAAAACACAACAAAAAAATCCATGGATTAAAACTGTTGGGCTAGAAAGCTGTTGAGTTTGGATGAAAAGCAAAGCCTCAGACATTGGAATGTATTTCATAGGCAGTAATCAGGCCCTGAGTATGCCAAACAAATATAAAAAGGCCTTTCATGCAGTAAGATATATTTTTAAATAAACGGGCCCTTTGGTTTGAACATATGTTTTGCTTTGGAATTGGCCTGAGAGGCTTTTCAGACAGGAGCACCACAAACCTATTTCCCTTTCTGCCTTTGTGCCATGGCTCCCAGGCTGTCTCCTGGTTTATTCACCAAGAAAATGAGGTCTCCTGACAAAAGTTTGACAGATGTCTGGCTGCACAAGGCTGCAGGGATGTCAGCACCCTGCACCAGGTCCCTCAAAAGCTGCATCCCTGGAGGTGAAATTCTKCCCTTCTCCCAACAAAAACAGCTCCACGAGTCACTGCAGTGTTCTAAGACAGTTACAAGTTCTATAATAGCTGTGGAATTTCTGTAATTCCATGAACAAGTGGAAATTCTGCTTTAGTTAGGGGTGGGTGCCAGACCCTGAGCATCCCTGGTTGCTGCTGGGATGGGGGATGTCTGTGCCCATCACGTCCCCAGCCTGTCTGCCAGTCAGCCCCTTCCCTTCTCTGGGCACACAGGTGCCCAAGACATACAAAAGGGAGGCCTGTAAGCACTTGGCAAATGGAGAATTTCTTTAAAGCCAGGTCTTTTAAATGCAAATGAAATGTAGTGTTAGCTTCTCTTTCCTTTCAGCAGGAGTAATTGGAGCTAAGGTTTTATACATAGTAGTAATATATGCATAAAATCAATTAAGTGCTGGGAATGCTATAAACTGCWCTCTAAACCCAAATCATTCAGTCCCAAACAGCAAGAGAAATGGCTGGAAGTGAGAGCTGAAAAAYAGGAGAAAGGAACAAGGTACAAATATTTGATATTTATCCTCACTACACTAGGAAATAACATGACGAGTATGTTCATGAAGGGTGAATTCTATATCCATTTCTATTAGCTGGAGTTTTAAATTGAGAGTAGGAGTTGTAGTTTAAATGTAAGTGCCTATTTAGTTGTAGGAATTGACAAGCAAACCTGCTGCCCCCTGCTAGCAGGACTTCAGAGTTACATTTTCATGGTCTTTCCTTCTCTTTCAAGGGAAATATATCCAAGCTGATGTAGAAATACACATTAAGGTACTCCTGTAACTGCAACTTGCTTGTTGACCCTTCCCCTTTCCATCCATGATCCTTGTTTGTATTAGTTCCTGATCCATTTTTCTAAATGATTTTTTGGATGATTTCTAAATGTTTTCTGACAGAATGTGGACCCTGACAGATTTATATTCTACTGCTTAGAAAACTAGCTGAATTTAGAATCTCAGTGTCTAAACTGCTGTGAAACAATACCAGTTTCTTTGGTTGCTTGGTGTTTGCTTGCTTTACAAAGCAAAAGTCTGGCTGTTACTTAGGAGCCAATAACCCCCAAATCAAACTTCCATTCTCTTAGATGGGATTTTGAGGCTGTTCCATCTCTGAGGTTCACATGTCTTCCATGCAGTTGCTACAAATGCCTTTTGCTTATGGCTTTTTTTTTCCCCCCTTTCCCTTTGGCTTGTTTGTTTGCAGAAAAAGATGGACAGTCGGGAATACCAGGATGCACAAGGTTTTGCAGCAGATATTCGGTTAATGTTCTCTAATTGTTACAAGTACAATCCTCCAGACCACGAGGTGGTGGCCATGGCCAGGAAGCTCCAGGTAAAGGTGTTGGCAAATGCATCTTCCAGAGTGTGTTTAGTTCAGGTCCAAGATTTCAATTTAGAGATCCACGTGTGAATCTGCTTTTGGCACCTACAAGGGAGTCCGTGATTCCTCCAGCCCTTGGGAAGAGCCTCATTTCCTGTGCAGGACTGTTGTGCTCTTCACATGGTGTGAATGGACCCAATACTATCTAAAATATGAAAATCCTTGGTTTTAAAGTAATGGGAGAATTTTYTTGGGTTTTCCAGATGGGCATACATATTCTGTATACCATTATTTACTTGTAGTGCACAAAGCCCCTGCCCCGATGTATTTAAAAGGCCGGAATGAGCTGTTTGTGACCCTTTTGTCACCAATTTCTCTCTTTTTTGCAGGATGTGTTTGAGATGAGGTTTGCAAAAATGCCCGATGAGCCTGCAGAGGCCCCCCCTCCACCTCCCCCAACAGCCCCAGTGGTGAGCAAAAGCACAGAGAGCAGTCACAGCAGCGAGGAAAGCTCCTCTGACTCCGACAGCTCCGACTCGGAGGAGGAGCGGGCGACGCGGCTGGCAGAGCTCCAGGAGCAGGTACTRCACCATCCAGGCTGTGTGTCTGTGCATTAGACAGAGCAGAGCAGCAGGAATTRTGTCCTGAAAAATCCCATTCACACTGGGCTGCAGGAAAATTCTCCCCTTCCCCAGTGCTATCAGTGCAGGTTTGATCTAATGTTTTTCTTCAGGATAGTTTTTCTCAGYGCCTCCTTCTGGGGTCCCAAAATAKGAGCTGCTTGATTTTTGACTTTAGGATATACTTATATCTTGGGATGTAGAGGGAAAGGGTTTATAGAGGCCTCATTTACCTTGCCTTGATGAATTTTCCTTTTCCCCCCAGTTGAAAGCCGTCCATGAGCAGCTGGCTGCACTGTCGCAAGCGCCAGTGAACAAACCAAAGAAAAAAAAAGAGAAGAAGGAAAAAGAGAAGAAAAAGAAAGATAAAGAGAAGGAGAAAGAAAAGCACAAAGTAAAAGCTGAGGAGGAGAAGAAACCCAAGGTGGCTCAACCACCAAAACAAACCCAACAAAAGAAAGCCCCAGCTAAGAAAGCAAACAGCACAACCACAGCTAACAGGTGAGAGCCAGCTTTCTACAAGGTGCCTTGAGGGGAGAGCCAAGAGCTTCCAGCCTGTCCTTAATTCCTGGGGAAGCTCAGTAGTTGTTAATTTGCTGYTGAATACTGTTCCCATTCCCAGACAACTCCAGGGAGYCTTTAACTTGGAGCTGGCAGTGGAACCATCATGTTTTCACTGTCCAGCTCTTTGAATCCCTGCCTGATTGCTCTCAGATAAGGTTTTTGGGGTTGCCTTTTGTGCAGCCACCAAGAACGTGCCATTTCATGGCYGCCCCCCTGCTGCTACTTGGGCTCGTTGTCACACTTCACAGGGCTAAAATACAATAGGAACACAACAGCTGATCCCAGACTGCTGAACTTTTTCTGCACTGGTGCTGCTGTTCCAGCCGTCTGACGAGAACTTCAAAGCCAAGAGCATGGGGATGTTTGTTACAAGCGAGTTAGGAAAGAAAAAGAATTCATTGCTGTGTCCTCACGAATGTTTTCATGCTTGACAACCTCCCCAGGCAGCCCAAGAAAGGAGGCAAACAGGCATCTGCAACCTACGACTCGGATGAGGAGGAGGAAGGGCTGCCCATGACCTATGATGAGAAACGACAGCTCAGCCTGGACATCAACCGCCTGCCCGGGGAGAAGCTGGGCAGGGTGGTGCACATCATCCAGTCCCGGGAACCTTCCCTCAGAGACTCCAATCCCGACGAGATTGAAATAGATTTTGAAACCTTGAAGCCCACAACTTTACGAGAACTGGAGAGATACGTGAAATCTTGTTTACAGAAAAAACAGAGGAAACCGTTTTGTAAGTTAACCTCCCAGGGCATGTGTTCCCCCCAGCAGCTCTTGGGCTCAGCTCTGGAGTCAGGGCATGTGTACTGAGGTTCTCTTATGCACCTGTTGGGTATGTGATGACAGGAATTTTTAGAGATTCTTTTCTCTCAAGGAAATGTACAGAAACTTTCTATTTTTCTGTATTCTTTCTTCCCGTGGTGTCCTGCTGCAGAGACCTGGAGAGCCACTGTGTTCYTCTGCAAGACCTGTGGGATGCCTTTATTACTTACTCAGGCTCTGGAAGGCCCTGTAAAGGTTTCAGTCTCATTGTGTCAGGTGTTATGTGCACACATCTGGAAGGATCAAATTTCTTATCCTGAATAGTTTAGCATCTCATTGGGAAAGAAACAAAAAACGTGGTTGGGATCCAAACCACCAAGGCAATAAATGATTTGCACAAGGTTACCTGGTTACCTGTGGATTCTGGTTGTGTCTGAGTTGGGTATTACCCCAAAACTGCTCTTTCTGTGTGGCCTGATCACCATATTGCCCTCACCCTCTATCAGATCAGAGGGTGAGTGTCAATCTGCTGCTGAGTGTGTGGTTCAGTGTGGGACAGACTTTGTGTCTTGTCCAGCCCTTGCGAGTTTAGCTCCAGCTGGACAGCAGTAGGATCACTTCCCTGGCGTGGTCCTGGCCCTCTAGGCTAAGGGAGTTTTGTTTTTAAGGCTGTGACACAAAAGTTACCCCCTGCTCTTGCAGAGCACCTCCATTCCTTCCCCCCAGGATTTGCAGGAAGGCCTAAGCAAAGTGCAGACTTCGACCCTTCTTTTTGCTTTTGTAATACACTGCTTTATTTTTTTCTCCTGAATCCTTCACTGTTGGAATAGCTCAGGAAAGGATTTTCCAGAGTGCTTAGGAACAGGAAGCATCCTTTAAATTTGGAAAGAGCACAGAGTAAAAGAGATAACCTCAGATGTCCACCCTGTGAGCCTGGCATGCCTGAGCCTGGCTGGACTCTTGTGCTGAGTGTTCCCTCTTGGCACTGTGCTTTCCAGATTTCATTTTTTTGTTGTTTTTTAAAAAAATCATTGCTTTTAAACAGCTCACAGAAMTGTAGGTATTTCCTTGCTGGATCAGGCAAAATATCTGGCTCCCATCTTGTGCTTCCAATCGTGGCCAACACCTGTGTTCAATTACTCCTTCTCTGGAGGAGTATTTCCTTTCCTTGGCAGTGTGAGTGTTGCTGGTACTTCTCACCCTTTCCAGCCTGATGCAGTTACATTCCTGTTGTCTGCCAGCCTTCGCCTTGGTTGGTTTTTAATTTGCCTTTGTTTGTTTTGTTTTCTGTTTAGAGCAACATAARCCACAGTAGATTCTTGTGTGAAGGGATCGGAAGTTTTAATGGCAGATGCTTTACTCCTGACAACCTTTAATGGGACACTTTATTTTACAGGGCAGAAAACCCATGTAACAATTCTGTAATTACAAATCTGTAATTATTGACCATATAACTGGCTGGTAAGTAATCTGGAATGACAAGGTTATTACATGGATATTTCTATCTTCTAAAATACTTTCCAGAAGATCTCTCTTAAAAAAAAAAAAAAGTGCATGTTACAGGCTGGTGGTGACAGAATGAGCAAGGCAACTTCAGGTGTTGTCTTCTCTCTGGGATGTGTAGTTGCTGTGTGAGCACTGGATCTTGGCAGTGTCACTGCAAGGTGTTCACACAGATGTACATGCCCTGTAAAATAGTGATGTCCACTCTTTTCCCCCGCATCTCTGCGGTTTCAGAAACTCTGCGTTCCTCCCCCACAGCTGCCAGTGGCAAAAAGCAAGCAGCAAAATCAAAAGAAGAGTTAGCTCAGGAAAAGAAGAAAGAACTAGAAAAGCGATTACAGGACGTCAGTGGGCAGCTAAACAACAACAAGAAGCCTGCAAAGAAAGGTAATGGCTGTGGGTTTACTGTGACAACAGCACCCCAAAAGGGGGGCAGACATCCTCACAGGGTCAGAATCTTTATGTAGCCTTGGGTTTGTCTCTGTGATAGGAAACTCTCAGGGAGTTGGGGCTGGGTGCTGAGCTGCTGTGTCCCTGTCCAGATGGAAACTCCTGGGTGGCAAATAGGATGGGTCTGGGAGGCAGTTCAGGCCTCAGAGGGAGGAGGATTTCCTTGTGTTAGCCTGGKGTGCAGCCCATAACACAGAGCATCTAACGTGGTTTCTCTCCAGTGTGGGATTAAAAAAATCCCAAACCCCCACGTAGCTCAGGATGCTCTGAAAGGTTCCCCCAATGCAAAACTGCTCCTAGCTTTCACGAGGGGTGTTTCCTGTGCTCAGAGGTGGCTCTGGGGTGCTGTGGGGTGTTGTAGAGCTCCTGTGTGCATCCCAAACTTCCCTGGTCAGCTGCAACCTAAGCATCCCTGTCACCCCGTGGGTCAGTGAGCTGCCTGGGCAAAACTGGCAACAAAACCACGGAGGATGAAGGCTGCGGGCAACCCTTCTCCGTTTCAGTTCCTTGTGAGTGACCACATCCCTGCCTTCTTCCCCCGCAGAGAAATCCGGCTCCACTCCCTCCGGAGGCCCCTCCCGGCTCAGCAGCAGCAGCTCCTCCGAGTCCGGGAGCAGCAGCTCCAGCGGCTCCAGCTCGGACAGCAGCGACTCGGAATGAGCTGGGGACACTTGGACACAAATCCCACACCTCCCTCCCCACGCTCTGCTGTGTCCCCTCCCCTCCTTAACCCTCYCGGGCCACGGTGGTCAGGTTTTATCCCCTCTGTCTTTTTCTCTCACTTGTTTTTTTTTTATTTTATTTTTTAACTCAGTGTTACAAAAAGTATCTTCTTTTTTTTTTTGGGGGGTGGGGGGGGAGTTCTCTTTTAATAGGTCAAAGATCTTTGAGTGCGTGTGTGTGACTAGACTTTATGACAAATAGTTCCCTTTGCATAAAGTCTCTAAAATTTACAATTATCTGGAGAAAATTGGTTGAAAATGGAAGAACTTTGAGCTCTTAGCAGGAGATAAATAGAAAATTCTGCAAGGTTTGTAGTACATTTCCCTTCCAGCCCTTCTCTCTGCCCAGAATATTCTCTTTTAATGAGCCTGCCTGGCTCACACAAGGTAAAAACCATCTTTTTTTAAAGAAATCTCTGTAAAATGGTACTGTATCTGAAAGATGTTAGCTTTTGAACTAGTTGGTGTATTTGTTATTAGCACTAGTATTCTTAATCTCCAAGTCTACAGTGTGATGAAAATGTCAGATGCTATCATCTTTTTACATAAAAACAACAAAAAAAATCCAAAAAAATTCTCATGTACTGTGGATTGCTAACATGCTTTTTTTTTTTTAATCTTGGTAGAGGCATAGACACCTGTTCAGGAAGGCATTGAAGCATGAATTTAACTTTTTAAGCACACRAGCAATAGAAGTGATTGCATTTCTTGGTTTTAAAAGCTTCACTTTTCCTGGGGACTCGTTGGGAAGAAGGGAGCCAGGGACACACTCAMATTTCTTGGGAATGTTATTTTTAACATTAAACAGAGAATTTCCAGGAAATGGATGCTCTCTATGGAAGTTTTCATTGAATTGAGAAGAGCTTTTTTGGCTGGAAGTTGTCAGCTGGAGCCTGGAGTGATCCCTGCAGTGACCAGGACAAGTCATGTGCCCATTACTGGACACATCTTAGGGATTTTCTCCATGACAAACACCTCAGTCTGGGCTTAAAATAAAGCAGCACTTGAGCTCCAGCTGAGGCTGAGCTGGCAGGGGAAGTGGAGAGGGATTTTGTGTGTGTTTGGGCTTTTTTTGCTTTTTGAGTTTGCTTTGTTTTTTGTTGTTTTTTTTTTCCTTCTCCTCRTCATTCTGGTAGTGAGCTCCTAGAAGGGGGATGCTCCTGTGTCAGGCAGGGTGCAGGTTCCAGGCACTGAAATGTTTTACCTCAATGAAAAGGAAAAAGAGGGGAAGGAGAAGAAAAAAAAAAAAAGAGCTAATTTTTTAAAGCTTGCTATTTTTTTGAGTCCAGCCTAACGTTTTGACCCGCACTGCTGCAATACACTCTGTTTTCAGTGTCCCTAATTTCATGTATATACCATGACTTTATTTATTAATAAACACCATTGGTTGTTTCAAAGGTAATAAAACCTAACAAAAGCAAAGCTGGGGTTCTGCAGGCCAGCAGACAGGCAGACTTTTAATGAGGTTTGAACCAGATTTAAAAAAAACAAAACAAACAAACAACAAAACAAATAAAAATCCACAACTTTATTTATATCCCTTGGACTTTATACCTACAGGTGCTACAGTCCAGTTTCTTGTGTGTCTGGTGCTCTGTCATGTTTGGTGTGTTTATTTTTAGGGTTTTTTTCCCTTGTCTTTTTACCCCAGCCCCCTTTTTTTCCTGTTTTGTACAGATTTTGGAGACATACACTTGGATACAATTTTATTTTCTCAGTAATATTTCCAGTTGTCTTTTTTCCCCCTCCTCCTTTTTTTCAGATTTTGGTTGAACAATGGGGGTTTTATCCTTTTATAATCCAATTTTAGGAAAACACCAGTTCTATAATTATATAAAACCTGTAATCTGAGGGGCAGAAGTTTTATTGTAAATTTTTTATTGTAAAAAAAAATATAAAGTTTAACAGAGAGTTCTGCTTTTCCTTCTCCAGCACCAGCCCCTAAAGCTGCCTCTCTACTGTGGAGTAGCCCTAAAATTCACCTTCCTGTGCTCTCCCAGTGGTGCAAATTGCTCCAGTTTTTATTTTCCCCACAGATGAGTGACTCTGGAGGGATCCTCAAGCCCAGCACGTGATTTCCTTTGCACACTCRGCCTCCAGGAGCTGGGACAGGAGATGCTGTGCTGGGCTCTGGGCTCWGGGGGATGTCCCTGTGCTGGGAAATTGGGAATCACAGCATTCCAAGGTTTGCACTTCCAGCTGCATCCATRCTCAGCTCCCAATCACTCCCTGCCCATCAKCCAGGGGTGATTAGCTGGGCACTCRGGCCTTGCAAAATCTGCTGGTGGTGACCAGAGATCATTTCCCACAGCATTTGAAAAGGAAAATGTTCTGATTTTTACTGAAATTCATGGTTTTTCTTTTCTATTAACAATGGTGTTATTTTAGTTCTGATTTTTTTTTTAATTCTGCCCTTAAAAAATCCTCCCCCCCAGACAGATCCTTGGTAATATATTTTCAGAATTTACTTTGAGGAAATGTAATATTCACCTAATTAAGAGCTTGGGTTTCTTTTTAATGGGGTTGGGTTTCACCTGTGTTTCTCCTGTTGCCTGCGACTTGAATAATCTGAATATTTTAATGAATAATTGCACCTAATTCACTGCCACGGCCTTTGGATAAACAAACTCCCASTTTTCCCTTCCTGGGACCTTTTCCTGAGTGCTTGAACCTGAGCTGTGCTGCTGATGGGACGTGGTGGTGGCTTCTGTTGGGAGAACAAACCAGAGCCTGTGTTGGAGGCCACACAAAATCTGGGAATGTGGCTCTGGGAGCATCCTCTGCCATCAGGAACAGCCCCTGGAACACACAGACATCCCTCAAGGAACCACGGGGCTGTGGCACCCAAATTRATGGGAAAGTTGGAGGCAAAGGGGTGAGAACCACGTGGGAAGTGATGGGGAAAGGCCTGGTCTGAGAGCGGCTCAGCGCTGGAGGAGGATCCCTGTTTGAGCTGGAAAATCATCCCAGCCTGGGGATTTTCACGGAAAACAACCTCCAAGGGAATGGGAACAACCACCTGCACATCTTCGATCCACCAGCTTCAACTTGGGCTTCCACTTATTGGGAAACTTCTCATGGAAAGTGAGGTGTTCTCGACGGAATGGAGCAAAGAGAAATCCATTTTGGCATCGCCAAGGAAAGAAAATGATGATTCCTCACTTCCAAATGTTGTCCTTACACTTTTCCATTCTCACATTGTTCGTAGTGCTCATTATCCCCACCCTGTTTATGGGGGTGCCTCCTGTACATCCCAAGTTTCTCCAGGAAAGAAGAGATGTTTCCARTCCAGAGTAAGTAGCAGCAGCCCTTAAATGAGTTGGGAACTGAACCAACAAGAGCATTTATTTAACTGAGTTTTATTGCATGACATGTCAGTCCAGATGTCACGGATTAACTTTGAAATGATCAAACACAGAACGTTTGAAAGAACATTTTTAAACTTAAGAATAAAAAAAAAAAAAAAAAACAGTCCAGATGTCACGGATTAACTTTGAAATGATCAAACACAGAACGTTTGAAAGAACATTTTTAAACTTAAGAATAAAAAAGAAAAAAAAAATTATGGTAGAATTTTTCTTGAATGAACAAAGTTTAACTTTGTTTTCCAGGGGAAACTTCACTGAAATCTGTATGATTTCATATGTATGCATACACACAGAGTTTTATTGAAACTGCTTTTTTCGGACKAATTCCTGTTTTGACAAAATACCTGACCAGACCTTTCTCAATCAACCAGCATTACTGCACCTTTTAAAAACTTTGTGAAACTTTTCTTTGATTGTAAACTCGGCCTGTCTCATGGCTCGGTGGGACCAGAGGGAGATCCACATCCTGGGGGCTCAGACCCCAATCCATCACCCGAAGGAATCTCTTGGATACAACAGCTCKCTGCAAACCAAATGTGTCATCTACACGAAAATCATTTCAATCTTTGTATTGACGTGGTTTTAACCTTTCCTGCCCACTGGGTTTGTAGCTGTAGGACTGATGTTTCAGGACTGCTGGGAGGGTGGTGCCCCCCAAACACCCACACAGATCATTTCTGTGTGTGGAAATCCTCAGCTGCGTTCCCCAGAGGTCTCTTCCCTGTTCTCTGTGTGGTAGAAGCAGACTGCAGTTACCTAATTAGTTTTTTCTCTGGTTTGGGGACTTTTAGACCAGTTTTTAATTTTTTTCCTTGTTTTGAAAGGAATTTTTTTTGGGGTTGGAGCTGAGGGGAAGGGATCGGGCCACGACAAAGACAAACCTTTTTAGTAGTGGATTTTAAATTCGCAGTCTCTTCTCAACCTTGAGCAGTTACCACTAGAGCTAACTGTGGGCAGGCTCTGCATCGTTAAAGAGAAATTTAGGATTCCTTACACAGCAGCATTATCTTGCTTGAGCTGCATTTTGTAAAGAAAATGGTATTTGCATATCTTTTTAAAATGTCATTTTTAAAAAATAAACCACCAGCTAGGATTTGACACAGGCCACGTAGAACACAGCCCTGATACTGGCATAACCAATCCAGAAAGATTTGTTGTTGTATTTTTGTTTTGTTATTTTGGGGTTTTTTTAATATTTAAAAGAAAAAAAGAAATTGTTACTTTTTCTGTATGATGTGCATGCAAATTTACCGTAACTCTTTTTCTTAAAACTTTTTAGTGCCATTTCTAGTATATTCCTGTAAATGTCAGTTATTGAAAAGAAATGAGTCAATGTAAGTAGTTTAGCTTGTTTATTGCAAATTGCTGGCCTCAAACAAAACAGAATTAAAAAAAAAGAGTTAGAAAGTAATCTTTGATGTTACTGGTAATCACGGACCCTGGTCCTGGGGCATTTGTTTTGTTTTCATAATAAAAAGAAAACTTGTTTTGTGTGTGCAGTTTGATCCTGTATTTTCCCCTCTCCTCATATTTTCCAGGTGTGACAAACCTGGAGTGAGCAGAGCCAAGAGAGAAACACAAATCTSTTTATTCCTGGTGTAATTTGGGAGTCCTGGGTTATTTGGGAGTCATTTTGCAGTTTCARTGGAGTGTCACACTCAGACTGGGGCAAGTCTGGGTGTCTGAATCACAGCTGAGCATCTGGAATAGAATTCCTTTAAATCTCCCTTTTCTTGGTGAGGGAAACTCTGCTGCTTCCATGTCCCAGGGCAGCCAAGGAAGGGCTTGGACTCTTGCCAGGATCCTACAGTTTGTAGGGTCTTAAACTCTGTGAGAATTGTAGGGTCTTAAACTCTGTGAGAAACTGAGGTAAGTTGGGCTGGAAGATGAGATTTCACCCAGGTTTGCTGCTGCCTTTGAAGCCACCAGGACCTGCAGGGAGCAGGGGGACTTTGTCACCTGCTCCACCAGCCCWGGGAGCTCAGGGTGACCTGGAAGGCACAGCTTGGGAAGGAGGAGCATGGAGCAGCTGGTCCCAGTCCCAGCAGAATCCTGGCATTGCTGTGTGGGGCCGGGATCTATTTTGGTCATGAGACAGCAGGAGGGGGGTTGGTTTTGCAGTTTGGTTTGTGTGCAAGGTGAGGTTAGCACAGCCAGGCTCCCCAGGGTTAATCTTTCTCCAGCCCTGTTCCTGCTCACTGCCTTTCCCAGCCAGCATCTCCCGGGTTTCAGCAAAGCCRTTTCACTGCTCTTGTGTCAGTGACACTCCCACGGGAGCTCTTTGTTCAACCTGTCCTCAAACAAGCTCCTGTGAGCCAGGGGAGGGTGTTCTGCAGCATTTCCTGCTGAGTTATTTCCAGGGGCAGCCAGCAGAGCTGTTTTTTGCTGGCTGGGAGGGRGTTGAGGAGAGGCAGGACAAGATTTGAGTTCAGCTCTCATTGGTATTTGTCATCAGGTGTGCCCTGCATCAAATCTTGGGGCCAAATTTGGGGACACTGAGGAGCTGGAGTGAGTCTGGAGAAGGGAACTGAGCTGGGGAAGGGCTCAGCCTCCAGAAAAAAAAAGACTCGGGGGCCTTTACACCCTCTACAAATCCCTGGCAGGACATTGAGGTGAGCTGGGGCTTGGCCTCTTGTCCTGGGCTGCACCAGGGAAGGCTCAGGGTGGACATCAGCAGGAATTTGTCCATGGAAAGGGTGGTCAGGTACTGGTTTGGAGTCCCAATCCCTGCAGGTGTCCAAGGAATGCCTGGATGTGGCACTGAGTGCTCAGGGCTGGGGACAGCGTGGGGATGGGTCCCAGGTTGGATGTGACAGCCTCATTTGATGATACTCTGATTCCATGTGCCATCCAGAGGCTTTCCTGGTGCTGAAAGCACTGCTGAGCTCAGGGCTGCTGGGGAGACTCCCCTACAGCTCCCAGGAGCCTCAAAAAATAACAGAAAACTCCTCCCTCCCATCTGGGGATGGGCAATGCCAAAATCTGTCACCCATGGCTGTGCAGGGGAAAACCAGCTGCTCACAAAGCTGCATTCAAACCATTTTAATGCACTTTATCCAAGAGGCTACAACAGTGTTTGAAACGAGTGCATGACCACCACACAACTCACAGAAACAGCCACAGCAGCCACTCCATGACCCTGCTGTGACCARTGACACACAGAAATGGAAAACTACAGTCACATTCACGGAGATGGAAGGACAACTCATCCTCTTCTTCCTCTACAGTCACATCCAGCCTCCATCCTGGAAGAATTTATGCACATTCTTACGGGTTTAGTCTTGTATAGTCCAATTATAACACTCTGCAAAATAACTGAATTTTGGTTCACCAGCCACGTTAACAAAAAGAGACTGATTATACCCAAAATAAGCATCTTCCTGACTGAAATTAAAAAAAAAAAAAAGAAAATAAGTGTTGCATTTCTTTTTCTATAAGAAAAGAAAACGAACAGCTGGTTTGGGGGATGTGCTGTTCCTTAAAACTCCCAGAGTTCACGCGCTCCCCAGGGCTGGCCTGGAACCCACCTCTCCTGCTCCTCCAGGTGAATCCACCTGCAATTCCCAGGGGAGCTCTCAGATCAGCCTCCTGCCCGTTTGAGTAAATGATCTCCTGTTCACTCAGCCAAGACCTGGAGGCCCAGGTGGGTCACACATCCCTGGCACTGCTCCCCCGGCGCCTTGCCGAGCCTTGCTGGGTTTGTGAACCTCACTCAACGCTTTCACCCGGTTGGAAAACATTTATTCACGGAGTTATTTCTCCTCCAGAGCTAGTCCTGACAAAATCAAGAGGGTTATTTGTGTGCAGAGCAATGCACGGGTCTGCAAAGCAGCGAGGTCCAGCAGCAGGTTTAAATCTACGAGCACACACACAAGGTATTGAACACCAACACATGCAGAAATAGTGCTTCTAAAAAACAATGAGCTGCCTGTTGTTTGCAGTGCTGTGGAGCAGGGCTGAGAACACCAAACCTCTACGATTTCACTGGAAAACAGGTGTGTTCTGCTCAGTACATCGAGTTCAGCAAGGTTGAGTGTCTGTGTGTTGTGGCATTTCACCCAMAAGGGAGAGGTGGAAGAGATTCTTCACTGTATTTAAAAAAAAAAAAATATAAATAAATAAAGTGCTTGAAAAACGCAAAGGAGGTTGTTGATAAATAGGACAGAAGTAATGACTGTGCCTAATAATAGGCAGGTAAATAATCCATACTGAAGCTGACATCCAATACTGATTTGCCTGGAGTTAAGCCTGAGCCCAGGCACTGCTGGGTYGGACACATGTCCCAGGCAGGGCAAAAAGGGACTCTGTGACCTCAGGCCAAYGTTGCACTTTAATGCTGAACCCTGGGCACATCATTCACACCCCTGGAAGGGGTGGTTTTGCTTTTAACAAACATTCAGGTGCTCGCTGGGCTGAGTTGCTCAGCATGATCTTGCCTTGAGCCAAATCAGGATTCAGCAGAAACTTAAACCTGAAAGCAGCAGCCTCTGTGCCCAAGCAGGGCAGTGCTTTCCCCTCCTAAAACCCTTCAGGTCATYGAAACAACTTTTAAAGCCAGACACAACTTTTAAACTACATGCACCAAACCTACAATCCAACCCCAACTAGAAGTTAAACCCTTCCAAGCTACTGCATGCRCTAAAACTTGAATGCAAAGCCAACTCCAACGGCCTCTTTAATTGTCACCCATCTCAGGAGAGGGGATGTGCTGTTTTAGGGGTTTTCTGATGTCCCTTAGGATATTTATTTACAGCTTTCTTCTTGTTGCTTCCCTGGGGCTGTTCCTCCCTTCTGAGCTGTTCTGTGGGCCTGTGAAGCTGTGCTATGTGAAAGGAGTCCCCTGATTCCAGAACCCCTGTTATTCCCATCTCTCACCCTGTGGGATCAGAGAGTGCCCTTTGCTCTGTGTGAAACTCCAGCACACCATTCCTACCGGGTGCTCTGAAGGCTCAGATTAAAATCCCAAAACATTCTTTCCCCCTTCCCACAACAAACCACCCTATTACCTGCCTGTGAGAGACAACTTCCAGGGCAGGAATGAAAAGGAAACAGGGCAAACAGAACAAAGAATGGCCAGGTGGGTTTGGAGRTCAACTTTCTAAGAGCACAGCCTGGGTGGGAACAGATCTGAGCTCGCCTCTGTCCCACCAGCATTCCCAGAGCTCTGGAAAAAGCACCAGGACTGGCCAGTGAGGGTGGCTGGGGACAGTGCCCGAGTGCCAGCGGGTGTTTCACAGGACACACGAGCCACTTACAAGCAACACATGGTCCAGCACGGCCCCTGCCAAGATGCTGGGCAAGCAACAGGCTTGAGAGCTCCCCGGCCACACTGGGTTTGTCAGACACACGCAGTGACATGCAAAATGTGAGTCTATGAACAGCAAAACCAAACAGAAACTTGGGCTTTCCGGGCCTCTCCCGGGAACGCCGCTTCCTCYGCAGAGAGGATGGAGCACGCCCACCTCCCCCAGCCCGATGCAAGCCTGCTTCCTCTCCACGTGTGGATTCCTACGGGAAATGAATTACATAATAGCACAAAACTTGGACTGCCCCGTGTCCCTGGAGACGTCCAGCTTGTTCTTGTCCCGCACCAGGATGGCTTCGTTGCCGTACTGCGAGTACCACATGCTCCTGCTGCGGCTCAGGTAGGTGTTGGGGGGAGCCGACTCCAGTTTCTGCTGCTGCTGCTGCCAGATGAGCAGAGAGGTGTCCCTGTACCTGAGGCGGGCGTAGCCCTCGGACAAAGCCTTCTCGGGCAGGGGCACCCTCCCGTTCATCAGCGTGTCGCTCATCTCCCCCACGAGAGCTCCACAAACGGGAGCTCCTTCCCGACAGCTCCGAAATAAACCCCGCTGGGTCTGTCCRGGTGGATGGCTGCTGCTCGGAGCTCAAGGGAGAACATCCCAAGGGACGGCTCTGGGGATCCACAAAGCGGGAGCGCCGCTCAGGAGAGGGAGGAGGGCTCCGAAATCACAACAGGCAGCCTGGACTCGCTTAGAAACCACGGCAGGACTTGTGGAAGCTCATCCAGCGGTGACAGCGCGGGGTGTTTCATGCCGGGAAGGGCCCACACGTGCTGATTGTTGACAGTCCGTGGAGCATCCCCGTCCGTGCGAGCGGGTCTGGACGAGCTCTGCCTCGCTGGAGAACGGATCCCGGAGCCCTGCGGAGGTCAGAGCCCGGGGGTCAGCGGTGTTTAGGCCGGTGCGTGGCCTGTCCCTCGCTGTCGGGAGGGATGGACGGAGCCGGGCTCGTCACGTGCTCAGGGATGCAGGAGAAGATGCTGCTCGGCCCTGCCGGTGGTACCCGAGCTGGRGGGACCGGCACCTCCCGACGGCACCTGCGGGGCACAGCGGGGTCACCCCACGGGCTGGCAGCGGGGGTCTCTGCCCTGCCAGCCCTGCCAGCCCCCCTTTCCCTTCCGCACCCCCCCGCCCGCCCCCAGACCCTTCCGGCGGCACCGCGCACCGCCCGCGCCCCCCGCGGGTATCCCGCACCCCCCGAGCGGGGATCCCGCACCGCCCGTCCCACACCGACCCCCAAAGCTCCCCCGAGCCCCCCGGCCGCCCCCCGGCCCCACCGTGCTGCGCTCCCGGCCCGGCCCGGCCCCGGCGCCGCTGCGCTCGGCAGAGCGGCCACCGAGGCTCCTCCCGAGCGCATCACGGCGGGAGGAGCCACGGCCGGGGCGGGGGCACCGGGGGAGGGCGAGAGCGGCGGGGATGGAGCGGGGATGGGGCGGCTCGGGTGGGTGCGGGGGTATGGCAATGGGGTACCCCGAGTGGGGTGCCTGGGTCGGGGTATGGCAGTGGGGCTCCTCGAGGTGGATTTGTGGGTCCGTATATGGCAGTGGGGTTCCCCGAATGGGTGACTCGGTTCAGGTATAGCAATGGAGCTCCCCGAGGTGGATCTGTGGGTCCCAGTATGGCAGTGGGGCTCCTCAAAGTGGATTTGTGAGTCCCGGTATGGCAGTGGGGTACCCTGAGTGGGTGTGTGGATATGGGGTGTGATATTGGGCTCCTCAAGGTGGATTTGTGAGTCCGGATATGGCAATGGGGCTCAAGGTGAATTTGTGGGTCCGGGTATGGCAGTGGGGCTCCCCGAGGGGGTGCGTGGATATGGGGTGTGATACTGGGGCTCTGGCTCCATACTGGGAGCACTGGGGCTGACCTGGGGCAGTCCACTGCTGTCCCCCCAAGGGGCTCTCCTCTCCCGGCTGCCGCGGGTGCCGGGGGGTCCCAGCTCGGGGATTTACAGCCCAGTTTCCCTTCTGGGTGCGACAGCCGCGTGTTCTGGGAGGGTGCAGCGACCCTCTGTGCCCACATTTGCGTGGGGTGGGGACAGGAGGGGACAGCCCCGTGCCCTGCCAGCCTCATRCCCCCGTCACTGTGCTCTGCGTGGCCGAGCAGCCCCTTCTTGACCCCCGCTCGCCGGCGCCGCTCGCCCCGGCGCCGCTCCTTGTCCCCGCCGTCCCCCGGCTGGCGCGCTCCGAGATGCGTTTTGAAGAGAGCTGCAGGGCTTATTCTTTTCCTGATGATGCTAAATTTAAGCTCTCAATCTTCTTATCTGCTGTGAAGGCAGCGCCATCTAATCTCCCGCGAAGGAGCCGATGCATTTATCCGCGCAGAGCCGCTCCGGGCGCCGCTGCCGCTGTTCCGCTCGGCCTTGACGGACACAAACAAGAGGCTGTGGTTCGCTTCCGTCAGAGGGAAGGCATGCTGCAAGTCCCTGCTCCCAGGAGATTCAGGCCGAACACAAAGAAGAAGGAAAAAAAAAATCACCGCGCTATTAAAATGTTTATTATCAGAAATATCCTGATTTTGCTGTTTAATCTGTCTCCTGCTAGTGCAGAGAAGYCAGCTCTGACCCACTCGTGGAAGCRGCAAAATTCTTTAGTGGACAAGATTTAGGTTTTTTTGAGGTGTTTTGGTTTTCTCTGAAAATTGACTGGCTCTGTTATCATCAAAGTCTGAGCATGAAGGAGAAGTGGGGTGAGTGCAGTGCCGAGATGGGGCAAGGAGAAGGATTGGAACCTGCTGAGCTCCGAGAGCCACCAGCTGCTCTGACCCCTCCACTGTGTGCCCCTGAGCAGGGACAGTCCCGAATAAACCACGGAGGCAGCAGCAGTAGAAAGGATGAGGTGAATTCCAGCTGCTACTCAGCCCATGGTTCGTTCCTCTCCTCCTTCCACCGAGGAAACCCCTGCTTTGCTCTCCCTGAGCTGCCTCCGGCCGTTCCTCTGCTGGCCTGGGTGCTTTTCCTGGGACTGTGAATGCTCCAGGTCTGTGATTTGGATGGGAAATCTGTTGGGGTGGAGCCCAGTGGAGGATGGTTGATGATTGATCAGCAAGGATGTCCCAGCAGTGCAGTGATGGTGTTGGGAGTGTTAACTGATTGTTATTGGAGTTTGGCACAGCTGAGACATCCCAAAACGAGAGTTTTCCGCACAGAAATGCCCAGGGAAGTGCCAGCTCCACCTGCCTGGTGCCCGGAGTCCTTTCCCAGTGGAGTTGCACTGTCAGGCTGGACACAGTCCCAGTGGCTGAATGCTCCCGCTGCTCCAGTTCAAGARGAGAATCCAGTTCATCCCTTCTGCCTGCACTGAGCTGTGCCAGGCGGGTTTTCCTGCTCCTTTCCAGGGTGGCAGTCACTCTTCCTCCATGGCCAGAGGTGTCTCCTGCAGGAAGAGAGGAACAGGAACTGTGCTGGCAGCACCGCAGGGCCGTTAGGGGATGATAATAACAGCGAGTGTTTTGGGGTGCACCCTGTCTGGGCAGGGGATCAGGTGTGGGGTGAGCCAGACAGAACATTATTGTCTGCACCCAGCAGTTCCACCCGCAGCGCTTTGGTGGCCCTGGCATTTCCATCTCACTGATAACCCAGCCAGAACTGCTACCGAGCAGCGGGGCTTGCACAGCTTTCCTAAAATAGCTGCTGAGAGGAGATGGCAGCATGGAAGGGCGTGCTGTAAATGGCACGTAGGCTGTGTGACAGCTGCCGTGCCAGCAGCCGGGCCGGCTCCTGCTCTGGGGACCCTGGCTCCAGCTGCAGACACGTCCCCTGGCAGCCGGCACGGCTCTGCTGCACGCTTGGGCTGATCCAGAAGGTGGCAATGGCAATCCACAGATTGGCTGCCGGGGAAAGGAGGATTTGCTGGCGGTACGGCCCTGCTGTTTAAGGAGTGTTTTAAGGGGGCTGCTTTTCTGCACGTGGGGAGCCAGCT